AAGTAAGGAAGTAAGGAAGTAAGGAAGTAAGTAAGTAAGTAAGTAAGTAAGTAAGTAAGTAAGTAAGTAAGTAAGTAAGTAAGTAAGTAAGTGTGTAAATAAATCAATAAATATATATATACACATACATACATATTATATATATGTATATATATATATATATTATATATATATATATTATCAGCACCTCAATTACCCCCGCTTTCCCCAAACCCTAGGCCTGGTGGCCCTGCTGCCCCATCAGCGCCTGTTGCCACTGCTGATTCTGCCTGGGTTTAGGGCTTAGGGTTTAGGGGTTTTAGGGGTTTCAGGGGCTTCAGGGGCTTTAGGGGCTTTAGGGGCTTTAGGGGGTTTAGGGGGTTTAGGGTTTAGGGACTAGGGTTTAGGGTTTAGGGTGTTTAGGGCTTAGGGTTTAGGATTTAGGGTTTAGGGTTTAGGGGAGTGTCAGACACGGCCTTGGGAAGGGCATACGCTGGACTCCGAAGAACAGCAAGAATCAGTATGATGCAGCTGACTTTAGAGAGATTTGCTTCAAGCACCGCGAATTTTTGTTCAATACCTGAGAATGGCTTGCCAGACTCATCTCAGGACAGCACAGCTGCTGCGGTTGCTGAATCGGCTGCTGTTGCATCGGCTGCTGCTGCATCTGCTGCTGCTGAATCGGCTGCTGTTGCGGCAACGGCTGCTGCTGCTGCTGAATCGGCTGCTGTTGCATCGGCGGCTGCTGTTGAATCGGCGACGGCTGCCGAATCGGCTGCTGCTGTTGCTGCTGCTGAATCGGCGGCTGCTGTTGAATCGGCGGCTGCTGCTGAATCGGCTGCTGCTGCTGAATCGGCGGCTGCTGCTGAATCGGCGGCTGCTGCTGAATCGGCTGCTGCTGCTGCTGAATCGGCTGCTGCTGCTGAATCGGCTGCTGCTGCTGAATCGGCGACTGCTGCTGAATCGGCGGCTGCTGCTGTTGCTGCTGAATCGGCTGCTGCTGCTGCTGCTGCTGCTGAATCGGCGGCTGCTGCTGCTGAATCGGCGGCTGCTGCTGCTGCTGCTGAATCGGCTGCTGCTGAATCGCACCTTCCAGCGCGCGTAGAGTGTGAAGTTCAGCGCGTCTCAACTCAAGCATACTTCCACTGACCCGTCATAGTGCTGCAAACTCAAGCACAGCCGACACAGTGGCCTTGCTGCATGGGGAAGTTGCCCTGCTGAAGATTCTGGGGGTTCCTCGGCTGCTCGATACGAGGGTTGCAGGTGTTAGTACGTTAGTAGGACAGCACGCATGTTCCTACTACAAGTAGAGATTCGATGCTGAAACACAAGGCTCTTCGGGTACTTCTGCTTCCACTTGCGCTTAGTGAGAGGATTGTCTCGGAGCAAGCTGGGAGCACGAGCATGCCAAGTACAAGACAAGCGTCGCTTTGGCAGAGCTATAGTTTTGCCCTGTAGCAGCACCAGCGGTCCCTGGCAATGGGTCGACTTCGCGAGCTGAGAAAAAAGCTCGTGCTCAAGAGAGATTGCAGAAATCTGCGGGCTTCTTGTCGAAATCGGACCCTTCCTTCCCAGGGCCATGGCCTATGGAGGAAGCCTCGGAGGCGGAGGGCGCCTTTCCTCACGAAGAGCGCTCCCTAGGCTACGAGTCTTCCAGAGCTTACCGGAACCATGCCATGCCCGCCATGACATGTCAACTGCTACCAGTACTTCGGTCTTGCGGGGCCTTTGGACACTGCAGTATCCACCGTCGAGGATGTCGACGTCGTCTTGCCTGGGATCCGAGGAAGGCTCGAAATCAGCTTGGCTGCAGCAAATCGAGGAGGCCTGGCTTGTTCTGTAACCTTTTCTCATTCCGCACACAGTTCAAGAGACCAAAGCCACTGAAAAGTCCGGAACCCTTTGGGTTCAGGTGCAGTCTTGGCTTCTTGGCACTGTACTTGCTCGTGCTGCGGGCCGTCCTCTCTAGGAAGGCCTGAACACTCACTGACACCCGAACTCACGGCACCTCACAACATGAGGGGCCACTTCCACGAGGGAAGCTGAGCCCGGGCCGACTGCCAAAGTCAAGAGGAATCGTTGTACAAAGTTCTTCCGTGCACGCTGCGCAACTCAGTCGCCCAGGTGGCCATGCTAATTAGAACGCTTTGAGGAGGCTTCCGCGGAGCCTCGAACTTCAAAACTTAGGTGGGCAACTTGATGGCCCCTGAAAGTGCAGAGATCAGGCAGGCGTTCTCTCACAGTACGGCCTCCTCTGGAGCGTCCGACTCTGAGATACGCCTCTGTGCCCGAAGGTCTCCATGCGCAATGGCCACTGCAGCCGAGTGGTACGAAGGGTTGTTCTTGAGCAGGTAGGAGGTTAGAGTGCTGTGCTTGCGGCATTCCTGCACACAGGTGTCCCAGCTTTGGTCCCCAGCTGAAGCACGGCGGCGGCTGCAGCAGCAGCAACACTCACGAATGGCAAAGACGAACGGGGCCAGGAAGGGCCTCAAGAGGAGCTTGTAGCTCCAAAGGAGGACGTAGTACACCACGAAGGCAACGAAAGTGCAGAAGATGAGCCAAGAGCCTTCCCTTGCCATGTCCATCATCCGGGCCTCGTAGTAGTCCCACTGCATAGAAGGCTTGTCACGAGCCGGCGCTGCATTGTAGCTGCTGATGATGGTCTCGTAATCCTCCTTGGACTTGCCAAATATTATCTCCACGACAAAGAAGAGCCTGCTCCACTCGCTGGGAACGAGCTCCTGATTGCCTCACAGCGGGTCAGTGTTGTGCCGTATACCTCTTACCTGTGCCAACCTATGCTCCCCTCCCCGACGTAGGAGTGCTAGTCTGCTAGTTTTGTGACGAGATGCCCCAGCTCCAACCAGCAATCACCGTGTGGAAGAAAGCGGCAAGGGGAAGGAAGTTCAAGCAAGTATGGACGATGGCCTCGTTGTAGGCAGGTGGCTTTGAGGAGCCATGCAGCAAACACCACTTGTCCAACCAGAAGGCAACGATGCTGTAGACGAAGCCCACGAAGTACAGTATTGGCATGCCTCCAGAATACATGCAGATCACGAAGATCACCGTCAGAGTCTGTGCCATGCGCAGAGACAGGTTCCACTTAGGAAGCTGATAGATCCTTTGCAAACGTGCCTCCACCACCTCGCCCCTGCCGAAAATGCACTGCAAACAAGGGCCCACAACAAAGGCCATGATCAAGGGCGGAACCGTCGTGCTGAAAACTTGCATGAAGATGGTGAGGCAGATGCCGGTGCCGACGGAAATGTACCAAGAGACGGATAGCTCGTCAAATTGCCCGGTACCGATCTGCAACACTCGCAAAGGCATCAGGACTTCCGGGAGGTCCAAGGAGGCGTTTACAAGCAAAACCAACAAGCCTGTGTTGACCATCTGGGCCAAGAAGAGCTTCCAGAACTGACTCTGCGCCACCTCCGTGACTGTGCAGTGTCTCTCGAAGGCCACCAGGAACTCGTAGATCAGCAGAAGGATCTGGTTGATCACCAAGACAGCCGCTGCGGCCCCGATTACCTTCGCAATCTTGAGGCTGTTGTCGACGAGCCAATCTTGACACACCAGCTTCTCCTGTGGGCACATCTGATGTTTATGGCTTTCAAGCAGGGCGTAGTGGGCTCGACTCGCAATGGGAAATAAAAAGTGAGGACTTCGGGATCCATCACCTGCTTCAGCCCCCTAACTACATGCCAGACCGTGCACTCCTTCTGGGGCTTGTTCTTTCCCGGGCACTACATTGACATCAATTACGGCGTGCGTTGCGTAAACTTGCTTGCTGTTGCTGCACCACCTGCCTCGATCCCCGCCCGACAGTTGCTTTAGGACCCCACAACACGCGACTGCGGTTTCAGCAAGACAAAGCTCTCGTGTACAAGCCCTGGGGAAGTCCTCGGTGTCGTAGGGGGGAAACAAGAATTCCGGCCCGACGTTGAGGACCTGCTGCTGGCAGAAGCAATTGATGATGGGGTTCGACACACGCTCTGTGGAACCCTCGTCGAAGCTTTCCCATCTCTCTTGCGCGACATGCAGCTCGATATCAAGAGAGCAGGACATATCTGCTGAGATCTGGTTGTCACGAGCGGTCCAGGTTCCAACGACTGGTGTGAGGGTGTTGGGGTACATCGGAGCACAGTTCTCCTCGACCTTCCAGCAGCCACGCTCAGCTACCGGTGGGGGAGCCACAGGACACCCAAAGACCTGCACCTCCCTGGCTTGTGCCATCATGGTGGCCTGCCAGCACTGCACTTGCCGCGTCTCTGCGAACTCAAAGCCTATCCAATTGATCGAGCTCGAGTCCGAGTCCCCACAGCCGGAGACCTCCCCGAGGCGAGTTGCTGAGGTGCAGCTGGAGGTCCAGGGGTTCGTGCAAGCCGCACTCCAGGCGTAGCCGTCCTCATAGTCGGTGAACTGGTCGAAGACCTTCACGGTGTCCCAAGTCTTGGACGTGTCCCCGTTTCCAGAGCAGAGCCTGTCCGCAAAAAGCTCCAAGTCACAGAAGTTGAGGCACTCAGTGCCGTTCCCCTTGATCACCCAAGCGACGTTCTCGTTGAGGCTTGCAAGGGTTGATTTGGAGAGCGACTGGAAGTAAACAAGTGATGCGGCACAGACGATCAAGAAAATCAATGTGAGCAACACCACGAAGCAGATCCGGCAGCCTCGCTTCCACCAGGCAAAGTCCAGGTTCTCCCAGTACAGGTCGCTGGGCTCGCAAGCGCTTTGGACCTTGAGCGTGTGACCTTCAAATCTCCGAGGCTCACCTTGACAGCAGCGGAACAAGCCGTACTGAGAGAAGCGATACTCATCAAGCACGGCTTTCTTGTAGGTCTCCTTGGCGAAGATCACGAAGGCACGCACCACACCACGATCATCGTCACTCTTGTCTGCTTGAGATCGGATGCTGTTATCCATTCGCATCATTTTGTCATATTTCTTGTGCGTTGCCTTCTCCAGCTTCTCGTACTTGGCCTTGCTTGCGGCGTCATCTTTGCCTTCCAAAGCCTTCATCCGGATCACATCTCCATGCTCGGCGAGGATCAGGTCTCCCTTGGCCAGGAATGTGCTGATGGCGCCCTCGTAGTCTCGCACAAGGCACACCTCGACGACGCCGTCGCCATCGTCGAACCCCAAGCGCTTCAGAACACCCAGGAAGTGGTTCTTCATCTTCTCCTGCATCTCAGGATTCTACAAGAAGCGCCTGTGCTTGCCAGTCACCTCTACTGACTCTGCGCGAGGGCAGCAATCGCCAACACAAGAAACTCGCCTCAGCGCGCGACAGTGCAAACTGGTGAGACAGTCGCCCCTCCAACCGCAACCGACAGGTTGCCTCCTTACCCTAACACACCACCACCCCCGTGCGTGCGTGAGGGATCCTGGTACTGCTTGTGCCCGTCTTTCAGCTGGTAGGGCAAGACATTGATGTCAATTGCAAAGTCGGACGGGGTCAGATTGGCATCGTCAGTAAAGCTAACCATGCCTCATTCAGAGCGGGCTTCCGGAAAGCCCTTCGACTTCTGATGACAAGTATCCAAGAAGATGATGATACTCATAACGGTGCTGCTGATGATGATGATGATTAAGACTATTGTCATGGGAATGGTGGTGCTGACCATGCTGGTCATGATGCCCATGATGATGGCCATGATGGTCATGATTACCATAATGGTCATGATGGTCACGATGGTCATGATGATGACGGTGATGATGATGCTGATGTTGATGCTGATGATGATGCTGATGATGCTGATGACGATGATGATGATGATGGCAGCTGTGACAATGTCAGTGATTATGACAGTTGGAAAGGCGACACCGCGAATAGGGATGCTAATATCATTATCGTGCTGGTGGCGAAGCTCATGATAGCAAGGATGACAAACCTCAATACTCATGATATTGCTAGTCATGTGACCGTGATAAGACACTCGTTGCAACTATGAAAGCACTAATGCCGCTCAAACTGACATTGGTAGGGCTGCTATAGTACTAATTCTGCCTCTAGCAAGGAACAGCAACCACACAAAACGTTGCAGCAACGATGAACCACCATCCCCACCGCCCCTGTCATGAAAATGATTTATCATAGGTTCCGCTGTGTCGCGAGGGATGTGCCATGCCTGAAAGAAGATGCCCCAGGCGAGGACCAGCAGGATGCCGATACCATCCTTGGCGTCACGCGTGTGGAGTGTGGCGACGGTGCTTGTGCGGGATGCATGAATCTGCAGTCGGCGCGAGGGTCGCCCATTTGCTGAAACTCCCTGGTGGCATACCCACATTGGTACATAGCTGTCGCTAGAACCTTTGGCCTTCGGTCTACATGGTAGCACGAGCGGCTCGCATATACATGTGGTGTGTGTGTGTGTACACATACACATACACACATACACATACACATACACATACACATACACATACACATACACATACACATACACATACACATACACATACACATACACATACACACATACACATACCACATACACATACACATACAGCCGCAAACACTTACACTTACTCGGTGTGCACATATACATATATATTTCTTTATTTATATTTGTATTTATATATGTAAACATATATGTATACATATATATATATATACATATATATGTATACATATATATATATACATATATATATGTGGCATGGACCTTTAGGGTCTA